TATTCTTTGAATACAAGATAAATCATAAATTCTACTGAGGTAACGGCGGAAAAATGTAATGCTCTCATCTAACAAATCCGTTCTTGCCATAACTCTGTTGAAACGACCTTTTATTAAGTCTTCGTACGTACGAAATTCTCTCTGGTAATTGCCCCGTTGCAAAACCTGAACAACATCTTCATTTCTCGCGTATAATGCTATTTGTCTATGCGTTTTGTTAGGATATCATGGAATGTAGCAACCTGCAAGTTTCTTCTAGACCTACTTGCGCATCGAAATAAAGTGGTGTCTCCCCCATTAAGTTTCCGAGTTGACATCGGCATCATAATCTACGAGAATTTTCACGATATCTTCGTGTCCCTCCTGACTGGCTAGGTGCAGCGCCGTTACTCCATTTTCGTCTTTGGCATTCACGTTAGCTCTTCTTAGGAGTAGCAAGTGGCAAGTTTCTTCTAGACCTACTCGCGCAGCGAAATGAAGTGGTGTCTCGCCACATTTAGTACTCGAGTTGACATCGGCATCATAATATACGAGAGTTTTCACGATATCTTCGTGTCCCTCCTGACTGGCTAGGTGCAGCGCCGTTATTCCATTTTCGTCTTCGGCATTCACGTTAGCTCTTGTTAGGAGTAGCAACTTGCAAGTTTCTTCTAGACCTACTCGCGCAGCGAAATGAAGTGGTGTCTCGCCACATCTAGTACTCGAGTTGACATCGGCACCCTGATGTACGAGAATTTTCACGATATCTTCGTGTCCCTCCTGAATGGCTAGGTGCAGCGCCGTTACTCCATTTTCGTCTTTGGCATTCACGTTAGCTCTTGCTGAGAGTAGCAAGTAGCAAATTTCTTGTAGACCTACTCGCGCAGCGAAATGAAGTGGTGTCTCGCCACATTTAGTACTCGAGTTGACATCGGCATCATAATCTACGAGAATTTTCACGATATCTTCGTGTCCCTCCTGACTGGCTAGGTGCAGCGCCGTTACTCCATTTTCGTCTTTGGCATTCACGTTAGCTCTTGCTGAGAGTAGCAAGTAGCAAATTTCTTGTAGACCTACTCGCGCAGCGAAATGAAGTGGTGTCTCGCCACATTTAGTACTCGAGTTGACATCGGCATCATAATCTACGAGAATTTTCACGATATCTTCGTGTCCCTCCTGACTGGCTAGGTGCAGCGCCGTTACTCCATTTTCGTCTTTGGCATTCACGTTAGCTCTTGCTGAGAGTAGCAAGTAGCAAATTTCTTGTAGACCTACTCGCGCAGCGAAATGAAGTGGTGTCTCGCCACATTTAGTACTCGAGTTGACATCGGCATCATAATCTACGAGAATTTTCACGATATCTTCGTGTCCCTCCTGACTGGCTAGGTGCAGCGCCGTTATTCCATTTTCGTCTTCGGCA